GGGCCGGGCCGGGGGCTCCCGCACGCTGCTGCCGGGGAAAGAGGTGCTGGAGCCGCTGCACCCACTGGGCCCCCGGTGATACTGACTGCGCCCGCGGCACGTCGCCCCCGCACGCACACCCCATGCACATATCTATGCACACATGCATGTATCCATGTCGCATACGTGCACACCTACTTGCAGGCGGACCCAGTGTGCTCACACAGTGCACACGCACACACACGAAACGCACACTGCCTGCACGCACACCGCACACGCATCCATATGCAGACGTCCGGCTTGCACGCACAGCCCCATGCGTGCTCACACACAGGCACACACGCATGCACACACTGCATGTGGCCTTCACACAAAAGCATTCACACACCCCGTGCAGTTATACACGCATGCCCTGCTTGCACACACACCCGCAGGTGTGCACACATGTACACCGGATGCATGCACACACGCAGGCATGTGCACACATGGTTTACACAAACACCACCCGCACATTCATAGCCACAGGTGCCGCACGCACACACGCATTCCCACGCATGTGTGCACACACATTCACACGCACACACACGTGTGACCCTCCCAAGCATGCACTCGCAGGGCTCACACCCCCACACACAGCCACCAACACCCCTGACAGAGCTGGTGGCAGCCAGCCCTGCTCCCCGGGGGCTGCCCCAGCCCCCCAGCCCCTCACCTCCACTTGGTGCGCCGGTTCTGGAACCAGGTCTTCACCTGGGCGTCCGTCATCTTGAGGGCCTTGGCCAGGGCAGCACGCTCGGCCGAGGCCAGGTACTTCTGCCGGTGGAAGCGCTTCTCCAGCTCGCAGATCTGCAGGCGGGTGAAGGAGGTGCGCGGCTTCTTCTTCTTGGGGGGGGTGCGGTTCTGGTAGGGGTGACCTATACGGCGTGTTACAGTGAAGGGTGAGAGGGCCACTGGGGGGGACACGGGAGGAGGGGGGGATGAGAGGCAAAGAAGCAAGCAGCGACACATCAGCAGAGGGGCTCCGGCTACCGGGGGCTCTGGGCTGGGGGCCCCCCCGCGCCGCAGCCAC